AATTCAACCATAAATTCACCTGTCTTTAATTCAATCATAAATTCACCTGTCATCAATTCAACCATAAATTCACCTGTCTTTAATTCAACCATAAATTCACCTGTCTTTTCTGGGTCGTGCCCGGGACGTCGGTGGGTCAGACGGGTGACTCAGGCGATACCTGCGATACCAGGGGTTACTGTTGGTGTTACCATGAGGTATTGGCATAAACATAAGTATCGACATGAACATAAGCACCGACATGAACGTCAGCACCGACATGAACATGAGCATCGCCATAAACATAAGTATCGACATGAACGTCAGCATCACAAGGGTGCAAAGTTCACCAATTTCGAAGAATGAAGCGATGTGTTAAAATCTGATCGAAAATCCAGATAATTATTTGAGAATGCAACCTTATATACAAATAAGATTATTCTCGGTACTAAATCAGTATAGATAGAAAATTTTTAAGAAAGATTCCGCGTTTTCTACTACTTTACTTTAATAAGGCAATATTGATCAGGCTTTTGCCCTTCACGCACTCTCTGATAGACATCAGTTAAAACACCTGATCGCGTGTTAGATTTGGCAAGTTTTGTCTTTCGTGGTTGAATGATATGGCAATCAGAGAAGCAAAATATTAATAATAATAATAACAGAACACGTTTATATATTCTGTTAAAAATAACGTTTAAGAATACTGGGGCCGTACTATCAAAAGTCGCTTATTATTACACACGTAGCGGCCTAAGTAGACGTAGCGGCCAATATCTCGTCTGTGATTGGTGGGTTTACCTTTATGTGCCGTCAGTGATTGGCTGACGGAGTAACTGACCTGCTGGCCGCCTTACAGACGAGCTTTTCGACTTGTTGCATGCCGGCGGTCCTGGAATAATAATCTTATTATTATTATATAGTAATTACGATCATTATAACCTTATAATTGATTTTTATTATCCTGTATTGATTGATTGATCGATTTCCCTATAATAATAATAATCTTATTGTATAATAATTTTTAATGAGGATTAATTATCTTATTATTACATTAATTTATTGCAAAAACGTATGCATTGCAACTACTTGTCTTAAGTTGCACGTTCAACAAAGAATTCAAAAAGCAAAGAAAACACCAAGTAAATTCCAAACAGCTTCCTGATGGAGCTGGTCTCCTAAACGTTTTCGATGAATTTACTTAAAATTTTGTGATTTGAAATTCCTGATTCATCGCAACTAAAGTGGTGGCACATAGCCATCTTCTTCTTGATGGTGATTGATAGAACACACAATTATGTATGTACTTCTTCTCTTCACGTCAATTTACTTAACTCTAAATAATACACCAGAAGAAAAGTAAAACAGTGACCATAAATTAATTGCTTGTCTTCAATAACCTTTATAATTGTTCGATTAAGCGCAATGACATGCGTATAAAACGTATACATTGAATTTGAACTTCGATTTACGAACTCCTCTAATCGCGAACATTACCAGACACGAATAGGAGGTTCGAGATTATTTTGCCCCACATACGAACATGTCTCTGTTTATGAACCTGATTTCATAAGCAATTCGGTGCTTATATACTAACCGATTTGGAGATATATTTTATTTATAGTGTTCATTCACATTTTATACCTATGTTGTTTAGAGCTACGAAAATTTCCACATCCAAACCCAGTCACGCAACGGATTAAGTTCCTAAGTCGAGGTATCACTGTATCAATATTAAGTTCCTAAGTCGAGGTATCACTGTATGAATATTAAGTTCCTAAGTCGATGTATCACTGTATCAATATTAAGTTCCTAAGTCGAGGTATCAGGGTATCAATATTAAGTTCCTAAGTCGAGGTATCACTGTATCAATATTAAGTTCCTAAGTTGAGGTATCAGAGAAATAATATAATATGAGGATCAATTTGATTGTCTTTTTGTACTCTCAGGGAATTAAGTTCAGATTCATAAAAAATGTGTTGTAACTCTTTCACAACCTGCATGTGCAACTCGTAATTAAAATGGTTATAACTCATGAATTCTTTCGATAAGTTTTTATAAAAATTATAGTGAACAAGAGGGTTCCGGTATAAATAGTTTGAGGATAACAGCCAGTATAGTATATATAGATTACGATGTTGATGACACATATAAATTATATTTTAAATATTTATAGTATTCTATGTACCATACTATGTCTTATAATAAACCAATTGCCATACTATACAATACCATATATGATATATATTATGCTATCGTGCTATAATATATTATACTATAATATATATGCCATACCGTACTATACCATCTGACACCATGCTACTTGCTATAATATAGTGTACTGTACTATATGCTATACTACCTATACCATACTAAACCATATCTGATATATACTATGCTACATGCTATAATAGAATATATTATACTATATGCCATACTATAATATACCATAAATTATCTATACCATACTAAATGCTACAATATAGTATAGTATAGTATATGGCTATATGCTATACCATACAATACCATATATTATATATACCATGCTACATGCTATAATATACATAATGTACTATACGATGTGCTATACCATACTACATATAATAGACATAAGCCCCAAGCCAGAAAAGTTCGGTGCTCGGTCAGGGCTCGAAGTCGGCGCTGCTTTCGATGACCTCATTGACCTACGTAACAGCGAGAGTTCAGTCACACGCTCCATACACATATTCATACCCAAACTATTTCAAAAATAAATTGTTTGTCGTATGATTCGTAAATACATAAAATGTAATTTGCAGGAATAGACATATTATTTAAATTAAGCACAGAAGAAAGAAACTATGGGAGTTACAGCAACTTACTTCAAATCTGGGAGGGCAGCTTTGGTTTCTTCTTTTGGCATGTATGTTGGATCCCCGTCTGGCAATTTCAACTGTTAGTGAGAGTGATCTTGCACGATGGTATTGGTATTATGGTATAATATGATAGGAGATAATATTATATATACGAATTCAATCTTCTACGATCACCAGGTGTTCTTAAATGCTATGTCGTGTTTGACCATCTGATAAGCATTGCGGTCCCGAAAAGGTGTGGAGGGGAACTCGGGTCAGCGTAGCACGCACTACCTACCCTCACCGACGCCGGAGAGGCACTGGCTCGTAGCCTCGTAGCTCGTAGGTTCTACAGAGTACAGAATACAGATTGTACAGGCAGCAAATGTCATCGACTCACCGAGGCAGTCGTAGCCGCCAAAAAGTTACCCCATTGTAGTAACAGAATAATTCAACTGGTGCCGGCTTTATTAAAAAATAACTAACCGATTTAAGAATATAATTACATAATAAGAAATAATTATGGATCTTGAAACTATGACTAATAAACTATGAATATTTATTAGAACTCAAGGATGCCTTTTCCAGCTGTAGTTTGATATTTAGTTGTGTATTATAATACTATGAGCATCCCATTTCTTAGCACCTTCTATTCGAGAAAAATAATATCGTAACGAAGCATGACGATCTAGCATATGATGATTAATAAGATATAGAATGATGTCAACGATGATATTTATACGGATAATACTCCACAAATAAATATTTATGCTTGACTAAATCATCGTGTACAAAGAAGAACAAGAAAGTTATAAAAGTTGTGTAAAAATTACATAAAATGAATGATGACTGCAAATGTGCAGTGAAAACACCTCTGGGTTCGCGGACATCACTTCATGTGATGCGCGGTGCACCCCTCCTTGTGGTGCGCGGTGCACCACTCCTTGTGGTGCGCGGTGCACCATGCTTCCCCTACCCCCCATCCCCTTCAAACCCCCACCACCATATTTCTAAGCCTTTCTTCCACCTGTACCGTTCACTTCATTGCATCTTTCTTCCATTTAAGTCACTTTACTTCTGTCTTCTTTCACAGTTACTAGTTAATTTCAATATATTTTTTATTTTATTATTATTATTTTATTATTTTTCTTACTTCTCCGTTCACTTATATGCCTTTCCTTCATCATGACAACCACGATTTTTCGGGACGATATCCCATTCACTTCAAACCTCTTCTATTCGTTCATATTCCAGTTATTTTTTTATTCTCTGCCAGTTTTTCAAAAGTAATTTTGGTGCTGGTCTGCTTGAATCGCCAGTTTACAAAATAAGGTAAATGCAAAGTTACGGTGAAATGAATGACTCCTGGCGACATGTATTTTCCATTTAAAAAACTTGACCTATAATTAATCTGTGAACATAAATCAGGAGTTCGGCACTTGAGGCGCATAAAGATCAGTTGCATTCACAATAAATTTATTTGAGATTTCAATCTTCTAATTCATTCCTTGTTACGGCACAGCAGCAGATAATTTATGCGTACGCCCATGAGTATAATAAGAAATAAGACATTTCGAAATTAGAGAAAATAAGCAATAAATTTTACCTAAATGAACTTGTACACAACGGCGCTCTGCATGAGGCCAACAGGTTGTTTGGCATCTTAACAGCGTACAACATGTACAATAATTTAACCCACGAATGCCAACTGCATTGTTGTATGCTAACATTGTTGGAATTCAACAGATATATTTTCCAAAAAGTCAGTTGTACCAGCGTTGTTTGCCTTCACTGTTTACTTAAGTTTGCGAACAAGATTCCGGTTTGTAGAAACACTCTCATGAGCCTTACAGGGTTTGCTAGTGCTGATAAACTTGTAAAGTTGTAATTGTTCTCAGGATTCCATGTTTGCGAACATCTCTATGATGACGGCTTATTTTGAAGTAACTAAAGCATTAAGTCTTGATTGGTTAAGATTACACAAAGGCATTTACCTGAATATATTTTTTTAAAACTATTTCAGTCGACAACTGGATATTATTCCTAAATTCCTGGAAGCGGAATATTCTGGACAAGAAAAAAGTTTGATCGGCCGCGAGTCCGGCCGTAGAATTGTCCGACAGATCAAATCATGGTTGAACTAATATAAGGTTGTACTAGTTCAACCATGGATCAAATTATGCTCCAATAAACTGATCGTAATAAAGTATTATGCAGAATGAACGGGATTCCCACCAGAATGTTTGCGAACCAATGTATGGGAACAATGCTCCACCATTGGATTTCAGGATTGCGTACTTGTGTTGTATATATTTCTTTTATTCGGACGCATTTTTAATTGTATAATTTTTATATCTGTGTAATGCCAGAGAGAGCTAATCCATGATGAGCTGATTAAGCAAGCTACAAAAAATGACTTCATGTACAAGAAATATGGGAGGACATGGATGGAGATTGAAGAAACAATTGTTTGGTCATCACTGTATCACAAAAGCAAAGTTACGAGCATTACTATTCGTTGATTGAAATTATTTCCATTGCTGCGTGTGAACAAATAATATTTTGGCATATTTTATTTTGAAATATAACTTTTGCAGAAATGTTCAGCATGCAATAATTCGAGCAACAGTCATCTATTTAACACAGACAAATCGCCTGGCTTCTCTGTTATGCACATGTATCATCTTGGCCTGAGCCAGATATAAAAGCTGTAAGCCCACCAGATAAAATAATCAAGAATCAGTGAAATAATACTGAAACTTACCAAGTAAATTCTGCTGAGTCCACAGGTTTGGCAAGTGGTCATCATACGGCTACTTCCTCATCTTCAAGCTGCCAACAACAACATTTTTTGAAATTCCGGAATTCGTTTATCCTCCGCCGCATTTCATTGATGTTTTATTCGCCTCGTGATTTGGCCTTTCAAGTTCCAATGTTGCCAAACCATCTGGTTTATTGCTGAAATAAATTTAAAAGCATGATTTTGTTAGGGTTGTGTTTCATTATATTGATAGGCCCAGCTCATTGCTGGGACTCAGTGCAGATGGAAGTCTTTGATGTTGTTGAGGAAGTGAACCAAAATTTTTATGAACTCATGGGGCTTGCTCAGGTAAGAGACATACCTACCGGCTACCGGTAGGCCTATTCTAACATTGAAACTTGAGTAGGTATATTACATATTTAGTGATTGGAATGAAGTTGTATAAATACCATTGTACTGTGAAGTGTCAAGATTATTTGAGTTGCAAACTTGCACTAAGTTTGAGTGTTTGACATACTTACAGTTAGCTAATGCTTAGTAAAATGACATATTTTCAATCTTTAAAATCTTGGGGCTTAATTGCGCAATTATGTTAAGACTTATATAGGAGGTCCGAGGTCATTTATGTAACAGGAATCCTGCAGTTCTAAGCATGGATAGAATGATGGGTAGCTTACAGAAATAAACTTGAGGAAGAGTAGGTACTATGATTATGAAAGTCTTTGCATTACACTATTTTTGCTGTGCCAATATTTTCACTTTTTATATAGGGTAAACGCGGTATATTCCGACATCGTAGGTAATTCCGTCACTTCTCTAGTTTTTCCTTTATATTAAGCTTTGTTTTAGTTCCATGCGTTCATTGATGGTTAAAATGGTGACGTCATACATTTGCGTGTCGAAATACTGCAAAAACACTAGGTCTTGGCCATCTAGTGGGAAAATATTGAGATCCAAAGAGAGACAATGCATGCCACGTGGTGAGATCATCGAAAAATGTGTCAAATTTGACAGTTCACAGTTGACATGGCTCTACCAAATAGTGAATAACTGTTTTTATAGGAAGAATATTATGGTTTGAGACTTTTAAATACATCTGTGAATATATTAGGAATCCTTTAAGTATACTTGTATTTGCTGATTTCAAGTCGTAAATAAATTAATAGATGATTAAGTTGAGATGTTGGATTTCGACACATGAAAACTAATTCCGACATAACTTGAATTGGACACACACAGATCGTTCAAAGCTTTGTACAAAAATTGAAATTTGCTTAATTAAAAGCCTAATAGCTGTTAATTAAAACGTAATTAAGTAGTGTTCAGTATTTGTTAGTGTTCTAATTCAAAGCCGTGTTGTATCCCAATACAGCTCACACAGCAAACGGAATTCGAACACGTGGATGTCGGCAATACGTATCAGTTAAATTTGAAGCGCTGACGCAATACGACTCACCACGTGTCGGATGTTGCCACACAAAGTGACGGAATATAGGGATTTGGTAGGTTTCCATTCTAAAGGCTTTTTAATAAATATGGCAACATTTTGTGACGTTTCATCATTGCTGACGCGTAGTGAAGTGTTTTGAGAGTCATGTGAAGGCAACAGAACTTACGTAATGCATACGTTTTTTTTTTATAGTTTTTCATTTCTCGATGCGTCCTTAAAGTGTCGGAATATACCGCGTTTACCCTAACCCTTTCCCTTGGGGTCCCTTGCTTAATTTCTCTTTTGTGAAGTAAGGAAAACAGCATATTTTGCCAGCATTTTTTTAAATTATATATGAAATAATAGATTTTGCCTGCAATTCCTAGAAAAGTCTACTCAATATTCCAGATTGCATCCTTGCAGTACTATCTTGGCTGCCTGGCAGTTGGCACTGGCAGTGGCAGATACTGCAGTCTGCAATTAAAATTGTAGTGTGATTAATAATTAATCTAGTATTGATTTATTAAATTGAGTTGACTTCTAAGTTTTCATGCAGTCATTCTAATACATATAATATAGGCTTGGTGTATATGTTAATTAATTTTTTTGGTTTCCAGGATGCTACTGTATCAGATGTCAAGAGAGCATACAGAACTTTATCAAAGCAAATACATCCAGACAAAAGTGATGACCCTGATGCTGAAATTAAATTCAGACAGGTTTGTTTTATCTTTTTTGTTTTATGTAACATTACACTAATAAATACCTTAATTGACATTCTGACTGTGGATAAAAATTGGTATTGTTCATGAATGATATTTTGTTTGTAAAAGTCAAATTTACACTGGAAGTTAACTGCTAATATTTAAGTTATCATTAAGAATAAGAATTCATAATAAATTTTACTGAATTGTTGCAATAAATTCAATTGACACTAAAATTCTTATCTGACCTCAACTTCTATTGTCAGATGGTGGCGGTGTATGAAGTACTCAAGGATCCGGAGAGGAGACAGCACTATGACAATGTCCTAGTCAATGGCTTACCAGACTGGCGCTCACCCGTGTTCTATTTCAGACGAGCTCGTAAAATGTCCATGCTAGAAATTTCTGTCATCTTGACTGTTGTGATCAGCATTGCTCAGTATCTTATGGCTTGGGGCTCATACTGGGATAAGTACAAGACTTTGGTAAGTTTCATTATGATTTACTGGTTAGAGATTTGAGTTCATGTGCAACTCTTGACTTAATTTAAATGTTATTTCCTGTATTTAGTTGCTATGTAATGCATACAGATCAGCCAAAATTGAAAATTTCATTTCATTTCAAACCTACTGAGCAATTTGATCCATTTATGGGTTATACTTGTTGATTGAAAATAATTGAATGTTTCTTTTTTCTTTTAGGATGAATATTATGACCGGAAATTTAAAAAAGCTGCCAAAGTAAAGAAATCTGGACCTGATCCAAAAGAAGAGTTCCTTGCTAAAATAGCTAAGCCAAGGTAAGAATTATTGTTGCTGGTAAATCTTGATAGGTACTAAACACACTTTTTTCCAGTAATTTTTTTTTTTTTCAATATAGTATTGTGATTTTTTGGCTCATTACATTTCACCACTCAGTGACCACTGTAAGGCTTGCGCCTGCTGTTTATATTTATAAGTGCTTATTTGAAAATTTATGATGCTATGACAATGTAGGAATTAAAAAATAAATAGAAATGCAAGTAAATATGACTGTTCATATCACCAGCTTTAAAGATACTTGATCATTCTCTAGTCTATATTAACCATCAAATCCATTTGTAAGTGAGACCTTCAATTAGGTATTTCTATTGTATTTCAGGTCTTCACTGCAAATTTTGATATCATGTGTTTTTTTTTACAGTTGGAAGAATATACTGCCTATCCAAATATGTCAAGGGCTATACTATGTTGTTGTTCATGGGCCCTCCCTCATCAAGAAGTATCGTGAGGAGCAGAAACGAAAAATACAAAAAGCTGAAGAAGAAAAACGAGAACTTGAAGAGGAGGAAAGATTGCGACTAAAAGAGGTGAAATCAGCATAGAAAAATGTTTGATATTTTCTTAATGGCATTGAACCAATGAAGCATAAAATATTCAAAAATTTTTTTACTTTTCTTACTACTCTAGTAGAATTTTTTCAACTATTTAGAATAGTGTCTAGGAAAAGGAATATTTATGATTCTAGTTCAAGTGTACCGTAAAATGGGGTAACTTAGACCGGCGGGGTAACTTAGACCACTTTTTGTTTTTTTAACAAAAACCCCCACAACTCAAAAACTATTTGACATAGAAAAATTTTGTCGATGGGCATTAAAGGCCTAATACATATTTTGCATGTTTCAATTCAAGTTTAATTTAGCTAGTAAAAAAATGGCATCATTTATAAAAAAAAAGTGGTCTAAGTTACCCCATTTTACGGTATGTTATTCCAAAAAGATTACTGAAATAAGGTATCAAAACAATTTTGCTTTGGTTCTAACAAATAAGCTATAAATTCGAGAGGTATAATGTTAAGTAATATTTATTCACTTACTAAAAATTAGTTAACATCCAGAGCTTTTGGAGCAGAGTACACATACTGAGCTACATAATAATCATCGCTTATTGTTGTGCCATAAACATTTTTTATTGGTATACCGGTACAGGAAGAGGAACGTAAGGCACGTAAGCTAGCAGCACCCAAGCGTCGCAAGCAAGCACTGCAAGAAGTACAGCAGCTCAGGAACACAATGTCTGGAGGTGGCGGGTGTGTCGTATACTCCCCTGACTGCCCTGTTCAGGTGATTGGTCTGCTTTCAATCATAATTCATTACTGTGCATAATTGGATATGATTAGTAATAATCAGTTAACCGTCATCAAACATTGATTTTCATTTCTGATATAAAGAAATGGGTTTCTTAATGAAAGATAATCATTGTCAACAGCTTCAAAATGAGGAAAATTTAACTTTTTTTTTACATAAAATATCATTGAATAAGGAAACATAAGGAAATTCATGTTTTATCACTGAAATATAATTGAGTATTAATCTCCAACATAAGGAAATTCATGTTTTATCACTGAAATATAATTGAGTATTAATCTTCATCTCCAACGTGACGAAAATAGAATTTTCTTCCTGACATACTATCAGTAGTAATCTTCATCACTGATTTAATAGAAATAGAGGTTCCGAGTGAAATATCCGTGCACATGAATCTCTATCGCAAATACAGTGAAAAAAAAATCAAATTTAAACCGAGATATTAGTAATTATTGCTCAATGATTTTGGGAAGGTCAGCGTACAAAGCGTCTCAACATCACATTGTTTGTGATATTCCAACATTGGTATGTTTTCTTTACAATGGTTTATCATGGCTACAGGAGCCCACATCTCACAACTACAACACTGGTATGTGGACGGACGAAGAGCTCTGTGAGTTCACCAAACTGTTGAACAAGTGAGTAACGCTCTATATATGTTATTAATGATGATAAAAGTAATGATATTAGTTTGTGCTCAAAACGGTTCTCATTTTGCTGGTCTAGCTTCCATATAAAGTGGTTCTGACAGTGGTTCACCTTGACTTGTCATCATTGTTTCCCTTACGCTATGAAAATTATCTCTTTAACGATTAACCATCCTAGCATTCAGGATAACATTCTATTTATTGAAAACAAGTTCATACAGCAGTCTGATTATGGTAAACAATATACAAAATAACTGGTCAATTCTTCAATAATTTTGTTCCTTTTTCTTGTCATGAACCATACAAAGAGGTCCTATGTTTGTATTCCTATTTGATTCTATTTCTTTGTTCTGAAAGCTGAATAAATTAACAAATTGAACTTGAGCATCATGAAAAATAGTTTATGATTTGGTATGCAAGGGCCCCCTTTTTGAAGATAAGATGTACAAGTGGATTTATTTAAAAAATGTGCAAAGAGGTTCTATGTTTGTATGTAGGTAGTTATTCTGAAGGTTCAATAAATTAGACAAATTTGTACCATGAAAAATAGTTTAGAATATGAAATGCAAGAGCACTTTTTAAAAGATGAGATTTAAAAGTTTAATTATTTAAAGATATTGTTAACGCTGATTGATTGATGATTGCAGGTACCCTGGAGGAACTGTAGATCGCTGGGAGGTTATTTCTGAGCAGCTCAATCGGGCTCCACATGAGGTCTGTCTTGTCAAGAGGGGGATATTGTGAAAATATTCTGAGATATTGTGACAATATTGTTTTGCGTTAATTGTTTGAAAATTGTTGTTTAAGATTAATCAATATCTTGTACTTGGCAGGTCATTAAAATGGCTGCTAAAATTCGAGAGAAAATGGCCGCTGGGACTTGGCTGCAGCAGCAACAGGAGGAACCTTTACTAGCCAAGGTACGAAATTCTATGTGAATTGCCTTAACAATCATCGCAGTCCTAGCCCACCCGTGCGTGCCGCCTCACTATTCTGCACCCATTAAGTACTATTTGTGCATAGTCAGTAATTGATGTAATTTAGCCAGTAATCTGCTAGGATGGTATCATAATGAATTGAAACTTTATCTTATCGAATTTCCTATAAATAGGAAATCATTTATCCTATTCTTTCCTCCATAAATTCCAATTCAGAAACAAAATTTGGTCCGAATTCTATTTCCCACATTTATTTGAATTGATCAGTTTAGATGCATGGGATTCGAGTCTACAATACCGATAATCGTTATCTATACTAGAATGAACGAAATTTTGAAGGCAAGCAAATGTTTGCAATCTGTTAGCATTCTTTCATGATAATCTCGTTTCAGATCAATGTTGATTATATTCCCTTTCCGGCTCAATTTTAACTACTGCATATCTTAGTTGCATATCTAAATTCTGTTTACCCTGGTTGCAGATCTAGTATATGGGTGTTTTTCTTGGTTGCTAGCTTTATCCCGGCAACAGTGAAAGTTTATCAGTTTATCTTTATCCGATCGTTGCAGATCGAACTTTACTTTGCAATTCAATTCTAAAGTTAACCCCGGCTAGGACCCAAGTTCCAATTTACCCTAGTAACAGTTTAACTTAGCTGCTAGCGCGACTGCAGCTCAAATCAACTTTTTCCTGGTAACAAAGCAATTTAACTTTTAACCTGGCCTCAGCTCAATTTTAACTTTTTATGGTAACAAATCTACTTAGCTTTTATCCTGGCCACAGCTGAAGTTTAAATTTGTATGGTAACAAATCTACTTAGCTTTTATCCTGGCCACAGCTCAATTTTATCTTTTTATAGTAACAAATCTGCTTAGCTTTTATCCTGGACACAGCTCAATTTAACTTTTTATGGTAACAAATCAACTTAACATTTATCCCGGCTGCAGCTAAGGTCTAACTTTACCCTGACAACAGATCAAGACGAAGACCCGCGCTGCCGCCCTTGACGACGAAGACCTGACCAAGAGCTGCGACCAGCACTGGTCGGCGGTGCAGCAGCAGGCCCTCGAGAAGGCGCTCAAAGCCTTCCCTAAGGGCACGGACCAGAGATGGCAGAAAATTGCCAAACAAGTCCCCGACAAGTCTGCTGTAAGTCTATAAATATTATAGTTTTTGCTTACAGACTGCCATAGTCTGCAGTGAGTTCATAAAAATTATAGTTGTAGCTACAGCCACCAGTCTGTGGACAAAGGCAGTCAGTTTTTACGGGAGGAAACGGAAATTAAAGAAGCTTTGTCCCTTCAATTAATGTCAGTAACTTGATGCTATTGAAATATATTAAAGTTATATAATTTTCATTCATAATTAGGTATGAAAATATTCTGAAAATGATGATCGTATTTTATGAATTCTACAACTGCGATTCAGTATTCAAAATTTGAGAAGCATAAAGGAGTAAATATATCTCATTTATGTACTAGCCGCTTGAAATTGTATTTCTGTTTATTTCCATGTCAGCGGCTGACCAGTTAATCCGTATCGTAAAGGAAAAAAATGAATCGCATTTTGCTGGATGATTGCATCAGCCCATTTAAGTTAGTTTATTTGTTAAATTTGAAATACTATTCATATTAATTATAAGTAGAAACGCACAGAAGCGTTGGTTTTACACGATGATCAATCATATCTCATAAGTTAAATAATGATTTAAATTTTGCAGGAGGATTGCATCAACAGATTCAAATATTTAGCGGAGAAGATCCGCAAAAAGAAGGCGGAGGAAGAAGAGGCCGCGGCGAGGCTGGCTGATGATGATAATGATGACGTCAACAAGGATAATGATGATATCAACAAGGCTGATGATGACGAGCAATACGACGATAACGATGATGATGAGCAAGACAATGATAGTGATAGCTGAAATGGCAGTTTCTTATCATCTAGAATAATTGAGAAAGCAGTTTTTTTATTACATTTTTTTTGTTGTGAGCAAAATGATTGAAAGTTTGCAGATGACGCACTCGTTCCATTTTAGTTAAGGATTTTCCTGTCATTACAGGCGCAGTTTGGGGTGATAGGTTGAAAAAATGGAAAAAAATTGTAAGTGGTTAAATAGGTGATTAGTTTGATTTGTTTTGTTTCTGTGTGTATAGGGAATTGTTACTAAGATTTATTTTTTTAAACTAATATTCAATCTTACTTTCTTGCTGCACAAAACCTTAAATACTGGATATTCTTCTTTGGATTTTTTTTTTATTTTTCCCTTCGAAAATATTACTCTAGACTTGGAAGCAAATTTGGAAAACTAAATTTTCTCATGTTTTTCCTTGTAAAATTTTGTTATTTCGGATAATATAGAAAATAATTTAAACATATTTTTTTACACGCTGTAACGTAATAATTGTTATTTGTCTCGTTAGTTATTCATAGAATACTGGGACTGAATTTCACATCAAACAAATGCACAATTCTGTATTGTATAACCGTTCAGTATCAGTATTTGCCTCGATGTTTGTCTTGTGTACACAACGCATGCTTTAGTCAAGTCGACAAGCGCTTGAAAATTATTCTGCTAAATTATTTGCACATTTCCAGTAAACTCTTCAGTCGGTGCTTTATTTTCGTTTTTTATTTACATTTTTGGTGCTGTAATTACTTATTGATTATGCTCCCTATATTGCTAGAAATCTCACTTGCATTTCTTGGCAAGTCAACGATCCGATTTGTAGTTTGGCTGAACTTTTTCTGAGTTCTAGTTATCTTTCACGCTGGATTTTACTTTTCTTTTTTACTTATATGCCTAGAGAGCCTCACCTTTCATTTAGCTACCTTGATGAATTTGTGCATAATGTAATTTTTTTAGTTTAAATTGTTTTCTTTTCCCCATTTAATCCATGATGCACAAGCATGGCTTTGTGTGGTGCGTCGAAACGAACTCTGGTGCTTCTTAGGTTACGCAATTGACGTAACGTGCAGGAAACCACGGTTAATAGTGGAGGTGATAATATAGGAACGAGTTCATTGTGATGAATGGTCACTGTACTTTATTGTAAATATATTCGGAATCTTGGATTATGAATGAACTAAACTCATATCTCAACTTATTTGTAAACATTCGCTGTCCATTATCTTGAAATATAGAAAGCATTGACTGCCGTTATCTTGATATATAGGAAGCATTGGCTGCCCGTTATCTTGAAATATAGAAAGCATTGGCTGCCCGTTATCTTGAAATATAGAAAGCATTGGCTGCCCGTTATCTTGAAATATAGGAAGCATTGGCTGCCCTTTATCTTGAATTGTGTAAATTATTGATTGGCCTGCTGTCTTGAAGGATAGAAGGTATTGCATAACTCGATATCTTGAATCATAGAAAGCATTGCTTTGTTAGCTATCATGAATTATAGAAAGTGTTGGCTGGACCGCTACTCTGAATTATAGAAAGTGTTGGCTGGACCGCTACTCTGAATTATAGAAAGTATTGGCAGGAGCTTCTTTCTTTCTTGCGCCGGCGATCGATGTGCATAGCAACTAAGCTCACTTCGGTAGCTCGACTGTCGCTTTGTCCTGCTGGCGAAATTTCTGGAAGACAACCTTAAGTGTTCACCACGTTAGAAATAATGTTAGGAATTCACTATGAACGCAATCATGGGTAGAAGCCAACGAATTTTATTTGCGCCCTGTCGCATATAATTATTTCGTCGTTGTGCAGAAAAGTGGCGTTTTTATTATGGTGAGATTTCATTTAATCTGTTTTATTTGTTTTATTCAACTTTACGATATAGTAGGTATGATGAATTAAGTTCAAACGCAGAAAGTTCACTTCATTCAATTCGTCCCGCCCAACCAAATTCGGCTATATCGTGACATAATGTATCAAATTCATCATTTATTGTGAGGCACAGCCCAGTGCTGATCAAGTTTATAATGTCACTCTGGATTCATCATTCAGTGAATTTGCTTCATTTATAACATCCTGAGCCTACGATGGAGCAAAACAAGGGGCTTGGCTGTTAAGAATTGTGCGTCATTTTAAACCTAGCAAATTTTCTGGAACAGAAAGGCTATCTGGAAACAAGGTATTTCAATGAAAAAAGTATTCGTTGATGTCAGAATCGGATTATATTTTTAACCCAGTTCGACCTTTAGGAAATTGCTTGGATGTCAAATAATTATTTTTAATGCATTAATTTGTTAACATTATCTTCAGAATTTGAATGTAATAATTGGTCCTGAATCTTGAAAAGCACCGAAAATATTTTTAATAATTGTATAATGTCTGTACTAATTGTACCGATCATTCGATAAATATTTTCAGTTAAAGTTTCTCGTACATGTCATAACGGATTACATGTTGTTTTTCGGAACTATACATCGAAGGACAAAGACAGGAACTTTTTAACAAATTACGTTATTCGCCATGTATACAGCCTTAAATAAATGAATGACTGAAGTAGCTACACCTCATGATTCGTGGACATAATGTGAATGGAATTCGTATGTCTTCAGTCTTGAGCGTCAGAGTTCGTGGTGTTCGAATGATTTCAAAACGTTCAGTTTGGCCTGCATCGTCTTTTTCTTTGCCTCGGTGAGCTTCTGTTTTTCCATGAGACCAGCAACTCTGGAACGTTCCTGCGCAATGAAGTCGTCGCCTTTTTCCAGCATTTTTTCTAGAATTTTCACGTAGATCCCAGCTGAAGTTTTGTCTTCGGCAGTTCTTACCTTTTTGGCTTCAGCCTCGGCTTCGAGTAGTAGAGCGTTTCGTTTTTTAGAGTCTTTTTCGACAATAAACTTGTCAACGATTCGATCGAAGGCTTCTAAGCAGTCTTCGTGACTAATGTAAACATCGGAATTTTTCCGCACGAAGTTCCTCAATGAATCTTCCGTGTAATCAGTACTATCAAAATCGATGGGATCGTCTCTACCCTGCAAAAAAAGCTTCACCACAGGGAAATTTTCTTTAACCACGCCAAAACGTTCACCTAAATCCACGTTTTCGAATTCACCGTAGTCTTTGATGCCAACTTCTGCCACCAAAAGGTCTTTGGAACTGCGCCCGGCGGCGGCGAGTTTGGCGAACTCTTCGTGCTTTGCGCCGTACGGATATGCCGTGTCGAACTTGACGATCGTTGCTTTGAACTTCGACACCATCTGCAAAAACAAGAAATAATGAATGAATCAAACGATATTATTCACGAAAATTTCATTTGTGGACAAGCCACAATACGACAACAAAAGAAAATGTGCACAATAATATTTTTGCCTATCGAAATCGTTCCCTATAGCCCTGGGAAAATAACCATCTGCAATGCTGCTTGAGCTCCCGCGCCTGGCAGCAAACGATTCATCTATTGATTCTATTCTATAAGTTAATGTACACTAGATGGATATACATATAACGGAGAAACGCTTTAAATGTACAGATAAATGTGCTGGGTACAAAGTAATCATAATGTTAGATTATAGTTTAAAGGGAAAATTATATTATAATCTAATTTCATCTTACATAGTTATAGCTGATATATAGAAGAAAAACAATGTCATCACATGGTTCAGTGATTATGGGATAGTGTGCGCCAATGTTCCTAATAAAAAATAAATAGTATCAATTACAAAAAAGAAAATGTAGGATTAGGAAATATGCTTTAGACATATTTTACAAATTCTACTTGTAGCATCATCAATTCTTTCAAGATTAAATAGAATCCATCAAAAAAGGTTATTTGATAGACACATTTTCCCTGCCAGAATTACACCGTGCAAGTTACTGTCTGTTAATTAATTACCTTGTCGAACGACCAAGCGTCTAACGGTGTTAGGCCTTTAGAGTTGATACCGAACGCACCTTGCCGAAGCAATGAAGCCATCAAAATCAGCGTCAAGCTCCACATCATTAATTCTGATTGACAAAAGTCTATTCAATTGACCAGTTTAAATACTCGGTAGTTGGTAACAGTAACACAGATGATATGAACTATGAAGTAGAGAAGGCGATCCCTGGAGGGAAAATGATAAAAAGTTAACAAATCGAAGATATTTCTTCAAATTGCCTTATTTTATTAAACAGTAATTTCAAACTGATACATTTGTGCTCCAAAAAACGTTGCATCAATTTCCTCATACATGTTAGCCCTATACTGTATGCATCTGGAATTTCTAGACGGCGTTACACTTTGTCGCAACTCGCAATCAAGCTCGTGCGACGAGTTCCGGTGCTGTACTATTTACTTTGTATTTGAAAAATATCAAAAATGTCTTTGTGCATTGATAGATCACTTCTGATTTTCAAAACATTTTAAGACATTAATATATGAATCTATGGTCTCACGATACAATACAGGACGTGGATACGCAACAACGTAAATCCCCTAAGAAGTGTCGGTGTGGACTGGAGCGGCAGGAAGAAGTCAGCTGTGCATCCGTAGGGCAACGCACTCTGCAATCGTCTGCTAGAGTCGCGTTCAACTCTGAGTCGTAAGGTGTTACAGAGGAAGCAGATTATGGAAACAAACACATATGATAAACATTTTAATTAAAGTAGTCAAGTTTACGACGGGAAGCTTATTGACGAAACTACAACTTGAAAAAAACTTCTTGTGAACTACGTCCATACATACGCCCAGAAAGATGTTGAAGAAGCATATCATTCATTGACTAGGCTTGAAGAAGAATAGAAATTAATCGGCATGCTTTGCTTCTTTTTTTTTCTAATAAAGAATGCATTACCGTATATATTGAAGAGCATTCGATGAAAGAAAGTTCTCGGTCCTCCAAGAGAAAATATAATACATATTTGCAGAACAATCAAGCAATTCTGTAAGATGTCTGGGAGACTGGGAGTTTGCAGTGAGTTCTGAGAAGTGTTGATTTGGTAATTTGTATTATTCATGAAATAATTTATCGTAATATGCTGCGTTACACTTCTAAATTTTTTTTCTAATGGAGCTTGTTTTTGCTCATTACAAATAGTTTGCTTACTTTTAATCAAGCATTCAACCAATCATTTATGAGTCACTTCAGTAACTGGTCTTGCATCGATATGAATAATAACCAAATGCCGATGTACCTCCACCGTTCGTCCGTCAGTCGCATGGCAGCTGCTTGTGGAATGTGGCAGCTGCTGCACGAGTTGCCGTTCTTTCTGGAAGACATTCTCTTCGAACGCAACGTGTAGTGACATTTAGTTCTTTTAATTAAAGTGCGCTTCGTGATATGTAAAAAGGTGTGATAACCTGATTGCTAATACAATCTCAGTTTTTCAAGTTTTTTCGTATATATAATGTTGTTAAATTAAACTCCGTCAAACGTATTAATTAAAACCAGTTTTCCTTTAACTAATCACAGAGCTAGTGTAATTGTTTCATATTGCGTAATTTGGTGGAATAAATTGATATACTTAAAATGAACTGTGTGCTTTTTGAAATTCAGTGTTGATTTGGACGTCAATAATTTGTTCAAAGTAACTGGAAATACTCCATTGACTCCAAAACTTCGTAGTTCAGATATATTAAAAGTTTTGTTATACCAACAATATTTATTTTCTAAGAAATTTTCAGAGAAAACTTATTTTAGAGTAAACTTTTTTATTTTTAGCTTTCCCACGCAACAACTGCTTCGACCCTTGACTTCACTCCGTTACTTTTTCAAATTGATATCTCGTCTACTGTTAGGTTTCCTTGTGCCTATTAAAAAATGGCACATTTGAATATGCAGATATGAAATAATAAAAAATGTTTTGATAATTCAGAATGAAGCATTTTTAAAGTTAAGCAGAAGTACTTTCTTTTCGCAAATCTGATTGAAGACCAGAATATGCTTTTTATTAACAGTTTTCTTGTTTGTTTTTTCCCATGAATCGAAGGAAGCAAAGAAAAAGATTGATAATTGTAAGCTTTCTCTGGTCTTCAATTAAACTTGCGTAAAGAATTAACTGAACACAGATCCCCTTGTAAAAGATGAGTTATGGTTTGCACTTTCCCCAACAGTATTTTTTGTGTTGCGTGTGGACAGACTTGGATGGCTGCATTGCTTGGCTGACTGCGGTTTGCGGTTGTCTCTTCTTTTTTACGCTTTCTGCCGGCTGCTTCGTCTTACCTGAAAGTCATTGTCTGGAAGTTAGTAGCTGACTGCGCTTTGCCAGAGCAGGTGTCAGTCAGATCAGTGACTGATTATTGTATAACTTTGTTAATTAAAATTTACAAGCAGCACAGTCGAGTGTGGTGCTAGCCTAATATTTAAACTTGTTATTTCTTACTATAAATTTGTAAAACAATTGAGTAAAATTATGAAATGTTGTAAAAGTTAATGTGAAATGAAGTCGTCTTCACTTGATGTGTTTTTCGCAAATCTCTCATCATTGCCTACACTTTTATTCATGTTAATTTCAATTTTTTTAGCATTAACGGTATGATATTTTCAAGTATAAGCAGAATTAGTGAAAAGTTTTGATATTCGACTCTCGTATCATATTTTATACAATAATTTGTATTCCTTCCTTGATCATCATTAACGGGAGAAACCCTCAAATAAAAACGACTTCTGAAAGCAAACATTTTTTGCGCTGTCGACTACTCGGCCAGCAACCACGTACTAGCTCTGCTAGCAACCATTATCAGTAGCGTTTAGTGGTATTCTTACCATGCAATTGCAACCTGCGGTCGCGCAACCAAAAGACACGTGAAAGCAAAGCTTCCTCTGTGGCCGCGCGAAAGAAGACTAGCGAGGCGGTCACACAGCAAAATGAGTTAGACTTTGTCCAAATATCGATGCGCTTATCGCCGTTGTGTGGGTCGTTTCGGTAAAAAGGCGAATCAAATCTATAACCGCTCGCTGCTCGTACTGTAGGGAAAACATGTGCCACCCACTTTTCGGACAATAAGACCTTTTCGACAATGAGTTGAAATTTTCTAAGCATATTGAAGGTCAAGTTAATGAAGCCAATAAACGACTTGGACTGATCAGACGCTCTTTCGAGTTCCTAGATGCAGAAGCGATGAAGCAGTTGTTTGTTGCTGTCGTGCGCCCGAACCTAGAGTTAATGTTCAGTCTTAAAATGCCTAGCAAATTACGGAGCAGGCAATAAGTCCAGCAGCTATCTCAATCAATCGTCAGCTATGGAAAGATCGGGCTCCAAAGGCCGGATCCCTTGTTAATCAAGTCACGAAACGTTCAAGAATCGGTAACAGGCCATGGGCCTATTTCTTCAACGCCGACACTTCTATTCTATTCTATTCCATTCTATTCTATTCTATTAATTTTACGAGTGTTGAGTTGTTGGATCGGTAGTTCAGGGAACTGAATTGACTCACGCAACCAAGCAGAGAGAGTGTGCAAAAATTGAGATGTTTTTTTTTTTCTGCCGATATTTTATTTATCTTGAAATTTTGATCGAGAAAAAACTGTTATTTTTTGGAACTTTCTGTTGACTGGAAAGTTAGAAAGTGGGAAGATTAGAAAGTGGGAAGTGCTCTAAGCAAATTAGTTTTATTTACGGAGGGCTGCTATTTTGTGCATACCCTCTATGTCAGTTGCGTATTCAAGTTTGGTATGCATTGTATTTATGTAAGTCTAAATTGGTGGTGTCAATTTTTTTATTCGTTGCGGGAAAACTGAATTTCAAACTTAACAACCTAAGAACATTCTGATAACTTCGTTTCAACAATTATGGAACAAAAACTCACTTAAACTCCGGTTATTATCATACTTACCTCACGTATTCAATTTAAATTAATAAACATCGCGTACACTTGGTCTCCTACGTACTGTGTCCTCACGATTCTCATACCGTGACTTATGGTAATGCATGAGAGACTTGTGACTCACGACTAAGTGAAAGCCTCCTGACTCACTCCTGACTCGAAGTGAGTGCCTCCTGACTCACTCCTGACTCGAAGTGAGTGCCTCCTGACTCACTCCTGACTCGAAGTGAGTGCCTCCTGACTCACTCCTGACTCAAAGTGAGTGCCTCCTGACTCACTCCTGACTCAAAGTGAGTGCCTCCTGACTCACTCCTGACTCAAAGTGAGTGCCTCCTGAATCAATCCACTATGGAATTATTTTATTGCCCCCTGACTCACTTGACAAAAGCGGGCAAAAAATAATTCCATATAATGATTTCGAACGGATGATTAATTGTTCTCGGGATAGCTTCTTGCACCATTTTGAGCAAATGATAGCTGAAATAGTGATCGCAATCTTATCGTTCCTCGACAATTGCCCATTGTTTGGCTGGCGACATGGAAAAGGTGTATGCTTGTCACCATTCACAATATTTCATTTTTTTTGTAAGACAAATTGTTACTGTATGTATTTGTAATATTAAATGGTCTTTCCTTATTAGTGGATTGTTAGTGGATTGATTCCGAGTGGATTTTATTATTTAATAGTCCTAGCTGATCAAGATGGTGAATTTGGGCGACATCTTCCCCAATTTTGAGGCCGAAACGACGGATGGGAAAATCAAGTTCCATGATTGGCTTGGAGAATCGTGAGTAGCTCTTTATTTATCGCACTTATTTATTCATTGTAAGTTATTTATTTCCAAGTGTAAGTTATATATTTCCAAGTGTAAGTATCCAAGTGTAAGTTATATATTTCCAATTCCAACCATTGGAATTAATCTTTCTAGTTTCTACGATCGCTGAGTTCTTCGATAGTTCCGTTTTGTAGGTTGAATCACTTCATTGATTTATGACATTGACGAATGTGTAATGATTTTTTTTACTCCATCGTAACTAGTTATTTAATATGATTTTTTTCAGATAATGCAATCTTTGGTTGTTTTGCTTAAAACATTCCTTTTTATTATTATGAACACTCGTTTCGTCATCGTTAAAAAACAAATTAAAAATAAATATTTTTAGAAATCCATTACAAAATTTGTTCTATAGATATTTGAACATGAGTTCTGTCAAACATTACAGAATTTGTTCTAATAATGCAATGATAATGCATAGTAATGAAATTAAATTTAATGACAATTAAATTTCATTAAAATTGAATTTCGTTTGCACTGAATTTTATAAAATTGAATTATATTAACATTATATTATAATAAATTTAAAATTTTTAAATTAAATTATCTTAAAATTAAATCGTATTAAATTTAAATTTTATTGAAATAATTTTTATTGAAATTAATTTTATTAAAAGTGATTTTTATTAAAATTAATTTTTATTAAAATGATATTTGTATCAAAAAGATAGTAATTATTAATTAACCACTTGAGATGGGGCATCCTGTTCTCGCACCCGCGGGACTACACGCCCGTCTGCACCACGGAGCTGGGCCGCGCTGCTGCCCTCGCTCCGCAGTTTGAAAAACGCGGATGCAAGCTCATCGCCCTGTCCTGCGACGCTCTCGACGACCATCATGGCTGGATAGAGGTCTGTTTTTATCGCTTTTCCCATTTATGGAAAAAATGCTCTATTGTGCTCGCCATGTCCGTCTGTCTGTCTGTCCGTCCGTCCGTGACCACGTTTTCGTCGACGAGAAAATGCGCTCTCTGTCACTCACTGCACTGAGTACTGAATTATATTTTTTAATCAATAAGCGTTTTAATCATTTCTAAAATGCTATAAACGCAATATAAATTAAGCACCAGCTAGGATGGATAGAGATCTGTTTACAGAAGTATGAAAAATATAATTGTTACTCATAATAATGGAGCTCCACTATTGATGGATATAGCGGGCATTTAGTTAAGAATAAATTCTTATCTATATAAAGGCGTACATAAATGAATATTTTATCAGTGATTCGTGTCAGTGTCTCAGCCCATAGCGTGTCAGTGAAATTTTAGACACTTTTGCCTGGCATCAAAGTGCACACATCATTCTTCTTTGATAATTTTTCTAAATATTTGAATTGAAACGTACGAATGTTTAAATTTTTATTTGTGATATTAATTATTGTTACCAAGTACTAAAAAAAGTCGCCAGGTCATCAAATTCAGACATTTGCACGAGTTCCCGCACATTATCATTGCCGATGATAAGCGATCGCTTGCGGCGCAATAACTGTTGATTAAAATGTACGTAATATATAATGTATCGATGATAATCATTATTAAATGCTAACATCTATCATCAGGACATCAAAGCCTACAACAAGCTGAGCGATTTCCCATACCCTATCATTGCGGATGATAAGCGATCGCTTTCGGCGCATTAGCGACTGATTAAAATGTACCTAATATATAATTTATCGATGATAGGTAATCATTACTAAATATTAGCATTTGTCATCAGGACATCAAAGCGTACAACAAGCTGAGCGAGTTCCCGTACCCTATCATTGCGGATGATAAGCGCGCGCTGGCGGTGCAGCTGGGGATGATAGACCCCGACGAGCAGGGGGCCGACGGGATGCCCTATACATGTCGGGCGGTCTTCGTTGTCGGGCCCGACAAGAAACTTAAGTTGTCCATGCTCTACCCTGCCACAACCGGCAGGAACTTTGAGTGAGGATCACTAATTATTTATTGAGTTTATACATTATTATTTTTTGTGAAAATTAGTTAGTTTTAGTTTTAGTTTTAATCCCACGTTCATTGGCCCCAAAAATGATTTCCTAAAATAATTTTGCTTAGATATATTTTTGCCCTGCATTTTTTTGCTTAATGTGACGCAATTTTCTTTTATTTTCTTTCTTGTTTTAATAAACGTTTTTTTCACCTTGCTTGAAATGGAGGAGTTATTTTTTCAAATGTTCTTGCAATAAACGTTTATGTGCTGCGATATCTTTCCATATTTATTTGAATATTATTTCAACAATTTTCACGACAAACATTTTCGCGCAGCAATAATTTTACTTATTTGGTGGAATTTCATTTCATATATTATTCTAGTCAACGTTTAAGGCCGCGAAATATTTCCGTAATTGGACAAGTTGTTTTCATTTTGAAATCAAGTTTGTATAACAAACGTTGTTGCGTGCGAGATTTTTTCTTATTTAGCGGAATTTTACTTTAAAAATGTAATTGTAATCAACATTTCTCCCTTGGTACGCATTCCCTTATTAAACTAAATTTTAGTAATTATTATTAATTATAATTAATTATTATTACTAATTATTATACCATAATTATTAGGGTATTTATAATGAACGTTTCTGCGCAGCGACATGTTACTTAAAATGGCGCAGTTTTCTTCAGAAATGTTATTGTAATTGTTTGCTATGCATTTCCTTAATTAAAAAATTTAATTTATTATTATATTGTTTAAAACAAAGGTTTTTGCCCTGCGACATGTTACCTAAAATGGCGCAGTTTTCTTCACAAATGTTATTATAATCAACGTTCTACGTTGCGATGCATTTCCTTATTTAATAGAATTTAATTTATTATTTTGATTAAAATAAATGTTTTTGCGCGGCGAGATTGTGCAATTTAATTTATTATTTTGTTGTTCATAACAAACGTTTATGCGCAGCGAGATCCTGCGCGCCCTAGACTCTCTCCAGCTGACGGCGACGCAGAAGGTGGCGACCCCCGCGGACTGGACGAAGGGGTCCGCATGCATGGTCCTGCCCAGCGTCTCTCCTGACGATGCTAAGCAACTGTTCCCTGAACACGTCTGTCATCCCGTGCCTTCTGGCAAAACTTATCTCAGAACCACCAAGTGAACGGGCTTCTACTTATCCTTGACATATACTTTACTTATAACCTTTCACTTTAATGCAACCTTTCATTTTACCTTTCATTTTATATTATAACTTCACTTATAACCTTTCACTTTAAGACAACCTTTCATTTCACCTTTCACTTTAAGACAACCTTTCATTTTACTTTTCATTTTATATTGTTCACTGGAAGCTCATGACTTTGGAAAGGTATAAATGCTCCGATACTAATTTTGACACGTTTTCAAGCGTGAACTAAAGGATTTTTAATCATTAATAAATTATGTATTAAAAAATCTAATAAATTATGTATTAAGTTTTCCGATTGATTTATTGCTGTTAATTTGATGCTCCTAAATTAGCAATATTGTTTTTTATTCTCGATATTTCCACCAGGTTTTTGAACATGCAATCCACCAGCATCTCATTTTTCTATCATCCCAAGATGTATTTGCCTCATTAAGTTTATTCTTTAATTATTTCTAAGCCATTGTTGGTGTGGTTGTGAACTTTTCACTGATCATCGGTGCCTTCGAAATGTGTATTCAAAATATCAAATATTCCACATAAAAATTTAGACAATTAACATTCCTGTTTTTCACTGAATATTTTTTTGGGGTTATTTTCATTTGCCTGAGGTACTTTGATTTTACAATACAACAACAAGTTTCACTGTGTTACTGCACTGCAGTTCTTGGGGTAAAATGAATCTCCTTGGGGTAAAAGGTATCTTTATCATTTCCATAAAGATGTTTGCACACATGTTCAATAATTTTTCCACAAACCTCTTGTATTAATATCCTTTCAACTCAAATGTTTGAGGAATTATTATTATGTTTATAAAAATTTTATTAAAAATTAATTTTATAATCAAATGGCTGAAGAATTTTAAGTCATTTCAATTTTTTCAAGTATCAATTATAAATGTTTTACCAAATTTAACAAATAATATGTCTCTAATGGCGTGGTCCTGCCTACACTTGAAGTTCGCTGGATGGCATTATTGCTTAATTTTTAATTTGATTCTTCAATTTCCAATTTAGCGCAGTTCGCAAAAGTGGGATTCATGGAGACACTCCGATTATATAGAGAGAATTAAATACCATAAAATCGGAGAAAATATAAAATTGAACGAAACGCCAAGTTAATTCGCGTTGAAAACTTTTGTTGGCCCTCGCCATCATCAGTTCAATAAACTGATGATGTTTTTGTTGAACTGTTGATGGAGCTGGTTTTCGACGCTGGTTTCGATAAAAAATTTCTGAATTATTAAGGGATAATTTTGACGTCTAAATTCGCGGTTAACTTGCGATTTAAGTATGCGAATGATACGAGTAAACACCACTCATTGCTACCTTAGATACGCACAGTATCGTCTTAGAAAATGAAGCACGGTCATTGTATGCCAAAAATTTAATGCAATAAATTTTGAGAAGGTTATATCAGATTAGAAATAAATTTTCTTTTTATTTGATTTGATTATAACCGTATATACAGAAGAACCTAAAGCGCGTAGCATAAGAATCGCAATTTAAAACCAACAAACAAAAGCGATGTATTCAGGATACAATCGACACACTCAACCTAAATTTTGGTATAAAAAAAACTAGGACCAAGTTTTGATTCTTTAATGTGAGGGGGAAAAAAACTTCACTGAGAGTCAATGCGACCGTGCGAGGTCGCTAATGAAGAAAACACGCTGGCTATCAAAACCTTCGAAACGCGTTTTGAGTCAACAGGAAAGTTAACTGCAAGTTGTGGATTTGGAAGATGATTTGTGAAAATATAATTGCAGTTTCTTGCGTTTGAAACCTCCATTTGGCCTCTGACGATCGAAACCGAAAATCAAAAAGAACCTAAAAATTGAAGTTTCCCGAAAGTCGCAGATTTTGATTGGAACGGCTTAATTTGGCATCTTATTTACTGGGGCCAAAATATCTAGCATGCTATCGACTTGCAAATTAGAATAACAAGGACTAATTATTGAGTTGCCCCGTATGCAATGTAATATCTTGGCATGCAAACTTGAATCACTCAATGGGCCTGGTGTCATCGTTGTTAACTCCTACGTGTTTCCTAGGGGAGTACTCACTCCGAACAGGATGTTACACTGTTGCAGTATTAGGAATCTTTATTGTATCCCTAACTCAGCTGCAGGACTGGCTCAACGACGATACTGAAGATGAGAACCTGAATATCATCGAGGGAGTACTACTTTCTATTCAAGTTTTATCGTTCATACTCTTAGCTTCGTTTGCCAAGCTAGCTAAGAAGTGGCCTTTGAAGATCTACAGTGTATTGTCTACAGTGTGGGCCACCCTGCAGTGGTTGTGGCTCGTCGTGATCGCGTATAATGGAGGAGACTGGGAAACGCTTCAGTGTCGAATATGCGGAGCAATTTTCACATCAGCAGCGGCATCTTTAACGCGAGGTTATTATATGCAGTTTGATTATCCCAACAGTGGTTCTTAACAAAATGGCTTCCATAACAATGGAATCTATGGAGAAATGCCTGTAATTGGCGTAGGTGGGAATGAATTTCAGAATTAGCAACGTCAGCAAGATTTTCTGGCGAATCAGCGGCGTCAACAGGGTCAACAGAGCCAACAGAGATAATAAGAACTTTTGGGTGCAAATCAACGGTTTACGTAGAACATCGTTCATCAATAGTCAGCGGATCAGCATTAACCTTCTTCCTTTCAACCTATTGGGAACCAAAATACAGGTTAAATCATGTTTACAACCAGAAATCCCGGCTAAATGGTCGCAACAGATCACCGGATTCAGTAATACACAAACGCCCAACAGCAGCAACAATAGCAATGTTGCTAAAATCCAACGGCAGGTCTGCCTCAGTTTGTACAATGTCCTTCTGCAGTGATAGCTTAGCCAATTGTGCACTAGCAATATCAATGTTTACCCCCATCGTATAATGATGCATAATTATTTTAGTAGCCAAACAGGCCTCCGTTTCAATGTGTTTGCTAGCCATTGACGAATAACATTAACGTATGTTCGGCTATCGGGACTCCAGGATAATGTTGTTGTGCCGTGTGCGCACCGAATTTTTGTAACGTTAATCCCTCAACCTAGACTTGTTGCTAGCCTATGGCATTTGTATGAGATACGAGCGTTAGGTTATGCGATAGGTTATGATATTGGAATGTTCTCTACAATAAAATAATTCTGATTGGATGATTATTTGAACTATGAACCTGTATTATTTAAACAGTTACATGACATTATTGTAATTGAATAAAATTGAATCAGAATTTGTCCCATATGAATTTCCTTTTCAATCTCGCCCGGTAGAAATTTGAAAGTTGCAATACTTTCCCGTTGAATATCCAAATGAAAAAAAACCGCACTGATATATGTTGACGGATTAGGACATAAACTAATATGATATGTTCCATACAGGTTGCTGATTGATTATAGGTTAGATAGAATAGAATAATTCATAGGCATACGAAATAGGGGAATAATTTTAATCAGACTGTACTGTCTAGATACTGCACGGCAATATTTTCATAGTTTTTTCTGAAATGGCGAACAATTCTCGCTTATTTCCAATTAAAAATAAATTTGCACTAACTTCACAATGTGAAAATCGAAGAAAGTTGATCTCATTCGTTCGCTTACAATGGATATGTTGACTTTAATTTTAACCTTTATTAAAATCACGTTTACTCGCACGAATTCTATGACATGAACGGCTTTAGATTTTCCTGAAAACGATCTCCACGAAGGTAAAGCACGCGTGCTCTTATTTCATGAAAGAGTTCCGAGTGTTTTTTATGCATGTTCCGGTGCTTTTTGCTTTTGTTTTAATGAATATCTTGCTGTTGGAGCCACGACAGAAACGCTCGTAACAGGAGATTGCGCCGAGCGCCGTCTCTGAGGAAATCAACGTCGGTGCTGCCATTCCTTCTGGAATTATTTCAGTTTTTGTGTGACGGAGTGTGGAATTATTTCAGTTTTTGTGTGACGGAGTGGAATGTGACTGCCGGAAACCCGTCTTGATTGTGTGGCGTTTCACTGAAAGCTTCACTTTCAGCGCTCACATTCAGATCGCGAGCTCCAAATTTGATTATCCTGCGAGATATTTGTGTACATTATAGGAAATGAAACTTGTGTTTTTGTATATAGTATTACACATTTTTAGAAATAATGACAAGATTCTACTTTATTTTGCATGTATATGATGAATTTTTTCTATACCTATGGCTAAAGATTCCAGTTGAGCGCACTAGAGATTGCATTTTATGTCGGAGATTCCAGATTTATGAATGTGCCATTGCTGTCAAGGCCTGAGATTCTATAATTCTACGTAACAGGCGACTTAGAAGGTCAAAAATTAGGATTTTCGATATATTTTATTTTAGGCTTGAAATTTTCGATATAAGGACGTTCGTATTCTAAGTTGCAGATTGCAGATGTTGGAAGAAGAGGCGGCATTCATATCTGCATTTGCTGGTTACTCAAACACAACAAAACTAATTGTATCATGAGAAATATGAACATAATAGAAAAATACGGTAATTTACTACAAATTAAAAAATTTTTTAAGTGGAGTCAAATTTTTTCAGCTATCAAACGCGGAAATTAAAATCATGGGTTTTTTATGGGTCATTAATGAAACTTAGGAACTGAATTTAAATGAAATATATTTTTTATTTTTTCAATTTAAAATGAATTTTTATTTCACTTTATAATCTTTTGTATTACTGAACTTGTCGGCCATTAGAGGCCACCCATTACCCGACTGAAGCCATCAAGAAACATTGTTTTCTTTTTCAACCGTCAGCGCGAGTCAACTGCAGGGGCCAATTTTCCGTCGCCTTGCTGTTGATTTTGGCCCGCGCTCGAGTTGACATAACCGTCTGCTACCCTACGCAATATCTTGCACTCAGAGAAATAAGTTGTCCAAATAGTGACACACTCTTTTACTCTCAGTACGAGCATAAAGCAGATGTTGCTCTGATGAGCCCTATCGCCAGGCCAAAGTAGACCATGCAAAAAGTGAATAACCATTTGGAAAAACTCTCACTCATTTATTGGATTGATGAATTGTAAATAAAAAAATCTCGCAATAATCTGAAGAAAAATTACAATTTAAAATAGTCATTGTCGTTTCGAGGTTACTAAAAATTTCATCAGGCTACAGCGTTTCTTGCGATCTTCGATTTTTCTTGTTTACATAAAATTCTTATAAAATAAAATACATCGTTGCATTGCCATTTTATAACAGGAAATTGATAATATAGTGCAATATAGTTAACGTTCCAATAATCTTAGAAAAAGTTTAAAAGCTAAAAAAACGAAAATTGGAGAAGCAACAAGAAAAATTTGTTTTCTAAAATGGTACATGAAATATCAAAAGGTGCAGCTGTTATGCATATTTATAATAAAACAATAAAAGCATATAAGAAAACACATCAACTTCACTAAATTAAAGCTGTACACAAGTTTGCGTGATGCAAGCAGTCTTTGTTTGACTTCACAAGTCTCGTCAATTTGCATGCGAGATTAGAACCGCGGAGCATCAAGGATGCGGCATCTTTGCGTGTACTTGCGCTGCAGTTAGGCGCTAGGCGTATGCTGTCAGGCGTACGTTGCTAGGCTTGTGCTACCAGGCGTATGTTGCAATGTATATGCTGTTAGGCGTATGATTTCAAGCGTATATATGTCAGGCGTATGCTGTTAGACATATGTTGTTAGGCGTATGTTGCTCCGTGTATGTTGCCAGGCGTATGCTGCCATGTGTATGCATGCTGCCATGCG